GTAGCGCAGTCACCACCAACTCCATAAAACAGAAGCACGTCGGCAGAACGTACTGCGCCTGCGCAGAACCCTGTATTTTCACGGTTTTCGATGGATTTTTGGTCAACGTTGTATTTTTGCAGAATTTTGCCTGTTGCAGAGAATATCTTTTCTGACATAACATTTGGAAACTACAGACGAGGTGTTTTCCTTATATGCGCGAATACGACCTTATATGAAACGTTCTACCGAAGTGCTGTGTATAATACATTACGGGTTTCGCGCAGGTGCAGTGCGTTCTGCCGACGTGCTTAAAACAGATGACATCCCTGCACAGTGCTGGCAGGGTAGTTGGAGTTTTGCCACCACCTCTATCATGTCCATTGATTTTTACCAGATTCATGTATTACCTGTGACATGTGCCATTATAATGCGATACACTTGTTACACACACTTTAAATATGTATAAAACAACAGCTGCGACTGCTTCAATAGCTACTGTATATCATTTTTTTTCAACCATTCCGAAAACTATTCAATATTCAATTCATGTTACTTATAAAGCTGACTGTATATTTTGTATAAGCTTCAGTATGAGGAAGGAAGATTCAAGAGTGTCTTTACGAAACAGATTTTTGATTCCTTAACAGAACTACATGACTTTTTAGTGTAATTTGCAAATTTTTGCTTTTTGATCGCACCACAGAAGTTATTTTAGAATGTTCTACTTTGCACAGGTGTGAGTTTGGAACAGTCCATTTTATAGGGAGGGGTATGACTGAAATATGTTGCTTGTGAACAAATGTCGGCCTTTCTAATTTTTTTCTGCCTTCATTAGGCCTAGAAAGTATCAGTGGAAGACTCTAAGATGGTGGAAGGAGGTTGTGGAAAATGTATCCAGTACCTGATGTTCACATTCAACCTGCTGTTTTGGGTAGGTACATGTAGTTATACAAGTACTTATAGTAATGATAAGAAGTAGTGGAATTGTACAGTCTTTATCGTTATTAACGCTATTTTTGATACCAGTTCAACATCATGATCGTTGTGAACTGATTGGTCATTAATTATCCTGATGAAGGCGACAGTGGTTGCTGAAAATTTAATCTCTGTAAACTGTGTGTTGGAATAAAGTTCAACCTTTTACTATCATGATAAGCAAGTGTAAAGGGTTAGATGGAAAGATTAGAATACCAGGTAACATTGATTTTTATGTCAATCTGAATAGGCACATTCAAGTTCGCTCTCATCCTTTCCTTTATACCCGCCATAATTTACCTTATTCCTAGCTGGCTGGCTGTGGCATCCTGGGAGTTGGGATCTGGCTGAGGGTGACCCAGGGTGACTTTGCCACCTTGGTTCCCAGCATCCCCTTCGTGACGGCGCCGAACCTGTGCATCATCGCGGGCGTCATCGTGATGGTGGTCGGCTTCATCGGATGCTGCGGTGCCCTGAAGGAGAACAAGTGTTTGTTGTTGACCGTAAGTAAAGAAAAGAAAACAAGGATTAAAAAAATGGCCATTTTTCTTCATCAATATTCATGCACCTCTTTGTGAAATTTATACCCGCACCTCTGGTTTTAACATTTAGAGACAGACATACATGTACATGCAGTATGATCATGTCTGTATTAAGCCTCGGTCACAACCCACCGTACGTGCTTTTTGTCCGTACGTGTGGTCTGCACGTCAAGTCTGGCCATGAGAGGTTGTGTGCATCGTTCGTTGCGCAAGTGGTAAGTGAGTTGTACGTGCTAACAACGTAAGATCTCTGTGCGATTGCAACTTTACCGTAAGGAGGCCGTATTCACACGTGCTTCTTCCGCAAGGCACTTACAGGGCACGCACGTCGCTCGTACTCGCACGCACGGGTGGTGAATCCGCAGACCGCACGTAGAAAAGTTTTACATGCACTTAAAGTTCTACAGCGTGTCTGCATGCTCCCAAATCTGTAGGATTCCATATGGAGGCGGCACTCACCACGCACGGATGCCCTGCGTTTGCCCACGTTTTTGCACGTAGACAGCACGCAGAAGCACGCATGGCGGGTTGTGACCGTAACTTAAAGAGTGTGTCCAGTTGGCACAATACAGATCTCGATTAAGTTCCCTTCCCATGCATTTTACACACAGTTTTAACTTTGTAATAACATTACTTTTACTTGAGAAATAAACATTTTACACACAGTTTTAACTTGTTTATTTCTCAAGTAAAAGTAATGTTATTTTCTTAATCTGATTGAAAGCCTTGTAAAGGCTGTGTAACAGGACCTGTTGGTTAAAACTTGTGCAAAAGCCGTGTAAACTGTGTGCACTTATTAGTTGGAATCGCATGTGGCTATCTGTAAAGCATAACCAGACACAGACATGTACACGTTTTAACATGACATAGAGAAATGAATGCGATATAAATGAAAAGTGCACCGTTTTTGCATGCATTATAATCCAGAAATGCTTGACTTTAAGCCATGTTTTGCATAACTTTTGATGGAGATTTGCACATGTGTAGATGGGAAGTTATTTGAAATCTGTACTGTCGCTGTATCCATGCCTTCCTCCTTTCTTTTCTCTACTTCTTTATCAAGAGACACTCAATGCTCCACTGAGTTGATCGTGGTTATCCCAAGTTGTTTTGTTTTTCATTTCTGTCTTCACCCGTGTGTGTGTGTTACAGCTTGGCACCCCCATTACCCTTGTTGTGTTTGTCCCCATCTTTATCCAAATCTTCATCCTCATCCCCAAGGAGTATTGTCTACTGGTTGGCTGTCTTTTCATTTTAATATTGGCGATGGCTGTAAACGCTCTCTACATAGGCGACACACAAACTTACAAGCGTGTCCTGCTCTGTTCACCTGTGAGTATTTCCAACCCTGGCCAATCAGAAACTCCCTTTTTGTCATGTGTCTTCTTTGACCAATCATATCCCCTTGTCCTGTTTTTTTGGTCCTACCATTTGAAAGGAAGCATGTGGACCAATCAGAAACATCCTTAAGGTCACGATTTGTAGCATAGACTACACGAATGCTCCTTGAGCTCTGTCTGTTTTTGTGGTTTGACAATATTCTTCTGAACACTTTTGAATCTCTTGTTATAGTGAAACTGGTCATGCCACTTAGTGGCATCTGTTAACCAGATACTATATTAGGTTATTCTTATCTGACTTCTGATTGGCCAGATGGTGCATGGAAGGACCAATCAGAACAGCACCGTTTTTGTGAAATTTTGATGTGAATGTTTTGTTTTCTCTCCTCTCCCCAGTTCTTTGTAATGCTGTTCATCATCTTCTGTCTGGAGATCACAGCTGGTGCTCTGGCCTATGTCTACAGGGACCATGTGAGTATGTAAGGGAAGAGCATGGAGTTAAAAGATCGATGGGAGGAGAGACAGAAATGGGAGGGTTGGCCATCAGCTGTTTTCATTGTATTTGCTAAAGATGCATATGGTGCATAGAGGTAAAACCTTAGGTTAAAGTTAGAAGTTTTCATCTTGGCATGCAATACAAAATAAATCAAGCAACTGGATAACTCTCTGCTCCCAGCATAGGGTGCTGACCGAGACCTTTGCTAAGTCTCTTGTACGTTCTGGGAAACTTCACATTCTGCCAGGTACTAAAAGAAGCATCAGTGGCCGGCACACCCGTTCATCACATAAACTGAACCCTCGTTATGGCCGTACGGGATGTTACATGAACAGTGCCCTACCATACATATGTGTATACTATATGTTTGAACTTTTGAACCACAGTGAAACATTCATTTGCTGAACTATTCTACTTTTTACTAACTAGCTCTGTTAATCCGGCAAATTTTGTATACATTGTTCTTATTGTAGTGTTTTACATGTGAATATGTCTCTTACTGAATTTGTTGTCATTTCGTAACACAATTCAGCCATTCTGGCTGCCCTGTTTGCGACTGTGTTTAAATAAACCATTCATATATAAGTTCTCTGAATATTCAGAGTGACATTTAAACTGCCTTTCATCAGTGACTGACATTGAGTAATGATGTTCATCTTACTATGACTGTTACTATGAGTCCATGGTTCTTGCTGTTGTTCCATGGTGTGTTCCTGCCTTGTCCAGTTGGAGCAGTTTGCCCGTGATGACCTGATGCGAGGTATGGACCAGTACGGCATGGCGGGGCAGTCCGGGCTGACGCGTGCCTGGGACCTGTTCCAGACTGAGAAGCACTGCTGTGGAGTCAACAACAGCACTGACTGGTGGGTACAGTAACACTCACATTAGAACTGAATCTTACCATTATGTGGTCAGTACAGTCAAACTTACCAGGCTAAGATGACATCCCAGGGGATTGAGAAAAAGTGGTCTTCTAAAGTTCTTAGACAAGTGGTCTTCTTGTATAAATGTATGGTACAAAACTGCAGCAAAGTTTCCACCTGTTTTACTGAATGATGTCCTTTATTGCATATTTACTATAGACTGCCCCATTGACCCAAAGTCAGTGACATTTTACATTGCTCAAAGACTGTCATGCTGTCAAAATCAATGGCAAACTGGGCAATTCCAGCAGTTTTTGCTAATTCTTACCAAAGATTTTTTTGCCACACGTTTGACAATGATGTGGCCCTCATAAGCAGAGATCAAGTGGTCAGCTTAGACAAGTTCCTATCTAATACTTATGCCCATGGGGGAAAAATCAGGACCAACAAAAAGTGGTGGTTATGGCCAAATGGTCAGCTGTCTTATAAAGGTGGTCGCTTGGGCAAGTTTGACTGTATTTCAACATTGAACATTATTGCTTCTACATATTTTGTCTATACATGTATTTGTATTATTTATTGTACACTAACTGTTGTACATGGACTCTCTTCTGTATTGTTTGTAGGTAAAATATGACTGTAACTGTAATGAATTATACATGTTACTGTGTCCGTATGCAGGTTTAAGCGCCCTGTGTGGCCCAACCAGAGCTGGGTTCCCGACTCCTGCTGTAAGCCTGAGTTCCGCCCTAACGAAAACTGTGGACAGTCGGGAATCACTCTGCAGTTCTTTGAAGACGTATGTAATATTCTAATTGTCACATGACTCATTCACATGAAACATACTGTATACACTTTTGAAGATATACAGTAACTTCTTTTCTTCATCAGCATGCTAAAACTGCTTAAATGTAAAAGAACACAGAAGAAGAACTTTATTTGCATGGTGATTGTTGTGGGTACAATCTATAGTAACTTGTACCAAGGAGGTTTAAAATGAACAGGAGACAAAATGTAATTACCACCCTGGTGCAGGCTATTGTTCAGTATTTGTTGTCATTTGTTGTTCTCGATCAATTGACAACTTTCACTGTTCTCGTCACATGATTTTGGGATTATTTCTTGTTTCGATGTCTCCGTAGATGTCTTTACAAGAGTGATAGGAACAAGTGGGAATATATTTCTTGTAATATAATATGATCTACGCCACTTGGGGAATTTACATGGTAGACATCTTCATGATTTTTGAAATATAAGTATTTTCATAAAGGCTATATTTCTGCATTTTGATCTATGTCTGTCTGTGTCATTGATATGTATTGTGTCAGATGTCTTGTGTGAAAACTAATCTCATCTTGAAGTGTGATTGAAGAATTTTCTGTGGCCACTGGTTTTGGAAGGCCGGTCACTTCTCGGAGAGATTGTTGTAACTGCTATCTCTTTCTTTGCCGATAAACATACTTCTTAGGTCTCAGAAGTCTGCAAATCTGCTCAAAATCATTGAAATCAAAACCAACCCACTCAAAGCCGTCATTTCCTGAGCCATCTTGAAACTGACCAGGCACAATCTTACAACAAATGGATCATAAGCTGTCATATTTAAACATTGTTGGTAAAAAATACTGCTGTTCATTTCCAGCTCAGTTTGATAATCTTGTTTCCAGTCAAACCATCTTCACCACAGTTCTCTGACTAAAAACAATGGGCCCAAGTCAACCAAAGCGAGAAGGCATCATGCAAATTGGGGGTTATTAGAGCAAATATACTAAAAGTAAGACCTTACACACTGGCGTTGCAGTGCTGATTCAGTGGACAAAACTGTGTCAGCACTGGAACGCACTCTACTAACTCATAAAGAATATTGTTCATAACTGTATGCTGTACTGTCAGTAATCTAATATATATCATTGTTTAGTGTTCTAACCAGTCTGAAATTTCATCATGTCAATTTTGTAATATCATGTTGATTGCCGAAGGTACGACAATCCTAGGGCCCACAGGACATGCTCCCTCATGAAAATTTTGAAATCTTGACCCTCTAAAACGCTATTTGCCACATTCTGATGGGAAATTTTGCTGGAACACTAAGCTTAATTCAATTGCCTCTTATCAAATCTTATATCCTCCGTAATGAGGGGCAAAATTCCCATCAAATGACGGAAACTTAAAATTGAACGCTGGCCAGAACACTGATTGCCTTGTTTTACATGTGATGGTTTGTTGGAATCAAACACCATTGCCATACATTTGTTTTTCCAGGGCTGCGTCTCTGCTCTGAAGACTGACTTCATGTTCAACCTGGGTCTGATCGGAGCTGTGGGGATCGGGATCGGCCTGATCCAGATCCTGGGCATGGTGTTCGCCCTCTGTCTGTTCTACAGGATCAGGAACGAGGGAACGTACGCGTAGAGATGGCAGAGTCATGACGAAGACTACAATTTGTGATTATTCAGTTCTCATAGTGTGGATGAAATTGGGGTAAAAAATTGGAGACATGAAATCTATTATTGATATTTACAAAACTTATGCTAGAAACTCATAGTAATACTTCTTAACACCCCAACCGCTCTTCTGAACATGATAATATTGTATGTATGGTAACATTAAAAATCTATATTCATTAATTAAATATCTGCTAGAATCTCAACCCAACCCAGCTATGTGATCTTCTGAACTCTATAATACAAAAGTACTATGATGTCAAACAAAAAGGAAAAAAAGCTTTTGCAGCATTAACCACCATACAAATGAAATGAAAAGAGCTGACAGACCCCTGTATTACTCTACATTTTAACCCATTTTGTATATTGTGTCTAATTGTATTGGTAGTCTTGTAAGATATTTGTGAATTTAGTAGTAGAGTGAGAGCTGTTGGTATTATATTTGATGAGCCTGCTGTACAAACGTGTTGTGCCAGAAGCCATGGTCCAGAGATACAAAGTTGATCCAAATGAATGTTATTGAGGGGCTTTTAACTAATCTCTAACAGGATGAGAGGGTTTTTGGTGTGTGGCCACGGAGCTGTGTTGTTTGATACTGAGGAGACAAGCTACAATCATGTTATCATGTAAATCCCAGGAGTTGAGTGTCCAAGAGAAACAAGTTGCAAAATCACACAGTAACATTTTTAAATTATGACCTTTCTCATCCTATAGTTGTAGCTTTGTCAACATCAGGTATGTCCAAGATAGGCACTTGATTGGCTTTGTATGTCCTTTTTCTATGACATTTCATCCAAACATATCATAATATACATTTCTACTTTTGATATCCATAAGACTTTGTAACAGATATGAAACAAATTTCAGTAAAACCAAATGAAAGAAGTCAATTTAAGGTGACTGCATGAAATATCTTCTTCATCCAACAAGTTGAACATTTAACTTTTTAATAAAGGCTTCAGAATGTCAGTATGGATGTTAGAACCAGTTGAACTTGTTGACTGTTAGTCCACTTTAAAAGAAAGTAAAAGTACATAATAAAGTTATTGTTATTTCTTCATGTATCATAGTCACCCCACATGCCATGGTATGATTTTATTCTCTACTTTCATGACAAAAGTTGCTATTTCTTTTGTTCTTTGTTTTATCTATGCACCACTGAAATTTTTTATTGTAGTCAGGAACAATAAACCAGTAGAAGGTTATTCTTTGTGAATTTAGAATTTTTAATTCATCCTGATATAAAGAATTTTTATGTATATTATCCTTTTGTGTTTTCTTCTATTGTTGTAATTTGTATTTTTAGTTTATCATCGCAGGTTAGGCCATGTTGATTTGATTATATGGATGACATCCTCTGGGAACCCCCAAACGGATACGAGCGTGTGAATGAAAAAGTTTGGCAATAAAAGTTGCCTTCATTATGAAATCTATGTGGTCATGCTGTGGTCATGAAGGTTGACCAAATGACTTAACACATGGTATGGTATGGTATGGTATGGTATGGTATGGTATGATGAATGCTATTATGGTATGCTATTTTCATTTCTTCACATTCTCTTCTTTGCCTTTGTAATTCATTTTGGCATTCTACGACATTAGTTTCGTTTACCAATATCTTTTTGCAAGTTACGGCATGTATTTGCTCATTTTGCATGCTTTGATTTACAGTATGGTCGATTTTTTTGTGGGGTTGGCGGGGGGGATAACAAAAATTCATGTGTGTGCGGATAGCATCCATATAATCAAACCAACATGTCCTTAACAGGGACAAGCAAAGCCACTCCTGATTGGAACGAATGTCCATGGATGTACCAATGGTAGGGATTCATACATTTTGACCAAAGTAAGTGGGACCATTTAAGAAGTTGCCAAAATTACATTTATCGGTTTAATGAAGATTATATCCTACATCAAAGAATGATAATGGACTTTATACAGATTATCATTGTTTACAAGATGTAGGTTTTAAACACATTAAAGAGGAGTGTTGGAACTAGGTGGAGATGAATAAAACAATGAGAATTCTCAATTGAACGGCCGAATTTTTAACGCTGTACATACAAGCATACATGTACGTATATCCTCTGACCTGCGATGTACCTTGAACGTGGACATCTGGGATGTAAAAACTGTGATAAATGGTGGTTTCTGTGCATGACATTTTGTAAGGTGTTGACATCACATTTGTGGAGAGTTGGGTGGAATGTAAATAGTTTTGGCCATGTCTTATGCAAGTATTGTGCAGTCTCCGTGAAGGTCGGTTATCATAATGTGCGTGTAACATTGCACGTAGCAGGTTATGTAGTTAATTGTTAGGCAACAGCAAGTAAATTTTATGGACGACATCCTCCACAGACTGCAAATCTAATGCGAGCGGGCGAAAAATAAACAAGGCGGGCCGAAAAAAACAAGGTTCCTACAATTTGATATTTTGACTCAATCATTGTACAGATGGTCTTGATTCAATGGGAACATCGCATATACACAGCCAGCATCACATATCACTGCATCAAAGTAAGAAACAAAACATTAAATCAGAGCCTTTTCTTGTCTCCTCTCGTTATAGTTATCTGCCATCCACCTTCCGGCATGGTAACAGACATCTTTGCCCATTTTCGGCATGTTGACCACTGTCAGAAGGCAACAAAATGTCTTGTGTTTTTTTCCAAAATCAGGCGAAAATTAATGCGCTCGCTGATGTCATCTATAAAAATTACTTGTTGTGGCCAAATGATCATTTTGGTAGGCACCTCGCTGCCATACATAGATGACGTGTCCTATCGAATGTTGTCAGGTAATAATATTTCAACGACAAAGAAAAGTCCAAAATGTTTCCGCAATCTTGACCATTGTTTACTATATTGTTGGTTTGTCATGTAACTCGTTCTCTGCTGACTAAAACTGTTGTGTTGTGGTGCCTTTATGTAAGTAAAAATGACAAAACGCCACAAATGTCTGCATGCGAGTTTAATTATAATGATACATTCATTATTCTGCATGGTTATTACACGAATAATTTTCTTCCAGTCACCCTCCTTTACAGACCATAAGCTCGCTAAGCACTAGAGACACATTATATTCAGTATATATATAGAGAGAGTGCATATATTCAGTGACAAAATAATGTGAAACTTTACATCAAGCTAGACATATTATTCATTTCCCAGACTATGCAAATTTAGTGCATTTAGATACAATTTTCTTTTACTCAAAGGCCTTTTCCCACTAGGATTTGTCCGGACCAAACCGAATAGATTTGCTCGGATCCGGACAATTCTATCCTAGTTGGAAAAGGGCCGACAAGTTTCACAGCGGATTTCCCGTCAGCACCTGCGTTTCTGTCCGTTGATTGACAGGTGCCTCTGACGATCGTTTCGAACACCCTTCACCATGACAGCAGGGATACTCCCGACGTTCTTTGCGGTGGGCTTTTCGTAGTAGTTTTTCCCATAATTACGCTGCGGCGGCTGCACGGATTTGGGGCTGACGGTGAGGGGGATGTTTGGTTGGCTGCGGTTGTGGTAGAGAACCGTGCCGTGTGCGTTTTGCTGCGGTGGCTTTGTGCGGAGACGGAGAACCATAATGGCAGCAATGGTGAGATTCACTACCTGCAAGCAAAGGTCATAAATATGGATCCCTATAAATATACAGACTGGAAACATCACAAACTATGTAGCAACGTCAATTTACGCATTATGGACCTGATACTTGTGAAAACGCGCCATCTACCGACATTAGAAATAATTTCAGCACCAAGGACAGATGCTACTGCTAGAACAGTCTGCTCTGCGAAAACGTTGATTAACGTCGTAGAAATCATAACATTTAACAGGCGTCATCTACAAACCTGACTTTAACATCCCAACGACATTCTTGTAGACTGTCTCATGTATATTTAGTGAATGTTGGGATAGCGTGTATTTGTACCTGAAGGATGGCAATCCCCATACACAGTCCGCCCAGCGTGTACATGTGACGCGCCAGGGCCAGCTTCAGTGGCAGGAGGCAACCCTGGAACGTAACAACAGCAAATGTAGTCAGAAATGACTCTGCTGTTGAAAATAATTGGTTAATTATTTCGGCAGGTGGCGTTTTTTCTTCGCTATTGATATTTTCATATGGTATGTATAATTATTATGGGTTCACCACACCACGAAGTGGTGTGTGGTGAACCCATATTGCTTTTTCTGGTGTTTCTTCTTCTTCTCCTCCTTCTCCTCCTTCTCCTCCTGCCATTTTTTAAATGGATTCAGCTTCTTCATTTTAGGGCCTAAGGTCCTGAAATTTGGTATGGAGGTACAGTGGGCAAATACCCCTAGGCGTTTTTTAAATTTTTGTGATACGGGCTTTTAGAATGGTTTTATTTGAGTTTTTTGGCTGTGTTATAGCAAATGTATTACTGTCGTTAGTGTGCCGTGTTTACCACGTTTGGGCATGAGTCATCACAATGGAATGCAGGGCATCAACCAATAGGC